GAATCTATTCCCTACACCTTCAATAGACATACTTTTAGCCAAAAACTTCAGCTCTACTTTTACTAATTCCAGCAGCATTTAAAGCAGTTTTAACTGATATCGACTTTTCATCAAGAGGTAGAATACGTATCTTGTTGCTCATGAACGCGATCTAAGAATAAACCATCCAGCGGTTTGGTCCAATTATAAAAGCTACTGCGAATTTGCCGAGTAATTTCGCTCCTTTTGAAAGGACACTCAGCGTATCCGCGATACGAGAGCGTCGCCGCTGACTGGTGACTTCCTGTTGGCAATTAGAGGAGGGAAACAGGGGCAAAAATAATGCCGCGCGAAACGTGCTTGAAGTTCTAACGACCCGTTGAGAGGGACAACGACGAGCCGGCGAGCGCAGCCAGAGACCAGCTCGTGGTATCTCGACCCGTTGCCGAGAATATTTGTCTTCGAGCACATGGCCATTTGACATCCGATACTCTCCTCGACACCGTAGCCAGAACCCGTGAAAAGGCTGGTCCCCCCCCGTCCCTTTCGGATCGTCCACGATCTCTGCTCCTCGCGTAATTCCGCGAAACGTGTCACCGACGCGCGCTCGCTAATTGCGTGAAATATTGGCGCACGCCGGTGGCCAAGAGTTGGCTCCAGTTCTTCTTATTTTTACGGCTCTTCATTTAATACTTTTTGCCTCGGGAAGTGGAGCACCGTGGTCTCCAGGGAAGGACGAATGAATGGGAGATTGGTATTTTGGCATGAATGCTGGAATGACGAGCGGTTTTCACTTTTCCCTTCGCTTCAGATGCGCCGTAGAAATTTTAGATTGTAGTGCATTTTCATGTGAATTTATCGCTAATACTGTCAAATTTATTTCTAACGTTAGATTTCGTTTAATTCAAATATGTTTTATATAAGTGTCTGAATATACTTAATCATAAGGATAAAAATATTAGAATTGATATTACTTAAAAATATTTTTAATTGAAATCATGATTACAGATTGTGTGATAGGATGAAGACTTGTATAATTATACTTTTAGGAAATCGAGTCGAATTCGCGTGTATAAACGGTACTGAAATATTCTCGTTTCTTTTCTGTAAAAATTAGTTCCTGATGTCGAGCACGAAAGTGGCACTTAATGAAAAGGGGATTAAGGGATCGGCCGGCTCAGTGGAAGATTAATCTGTTGAAAGCTCGCACGTTGTAATCCAACGGGTTCTCATTATTCACGTTCCACGTGGGAGTCAAACGCGTGCTGTGCGCGCAAATCCCCTAATTTCTCGATAACTAACTTAAAAGTGTAAACTAAAGCAATTCCTACTATCATTTTTGTCAAATCTTTAAACCCTTATATAAACGTTCCCACGTGTTGTTCGTATTTAAAAATAAGCTGACATAAAGTCGTTTTCACGCCTTTGAAATTTTCAAATCCAGTTATTATTCGTTCGTTTGCTAAATGAAATAATGTCTTCAAAATTCGTGGGCCAGTGTTCCTGAATCCCCGTAATTCAAGCTTTTCGGCAACTTCGCAGACCAGAAATCGTATTCGGTTGGTAGGCCACGCGTCGAATCCTGTGATTTCGTGGTTAGCACGTATTCGTGCAGCCGCGCGCGTAGAATTCCGTTCCGTGGGGGGGAGAGTGGGTGGGGGGCACGCGATTGTTAAACCCCACGGTTGGCATCCGGTTCGTAAAGTTGCCGCCGTGGGCAGCGGCTCGGATTTACTTGCGGCTAACGCAGTTACCCGTTAGACCCGGGGTTACGGCCAAAGCTCGCCTTTATCGCGCTAGAAATCTCACTGGATACGTTGTCATAGTTCAACGCTTACGACCTGATTCCCGTTCCCGATTGGCCACCTCTGTCCTTGGTTTCATCAGTTACCTCCGTTCCGCAGAGACTTTATGTCAATAATAATCACTGGAGTAATAAACTGTGGATTCTCTTGGATTACTCAGAAATTAAGCCGGAACTGTTTGAGCTCTTTAACGCAATATTTGCGGAGTATTTTACTTATAAAAATTCCAATCTTGAATGTATGGATTCTAAAGACAGATTATAAACTACGTATCGGCTTACGCGATTGAATCATACTTAAATGCTTGCGAAATGGATTTAGATTCTAACTATACTCTTCTTCAAGATTTTATTTTATGGATACTCTCAAATCGCGAGATGTAACAGCCCCAGTGGAAATATTTTTAGACGACACCAGTTACTGCCCACTGACTCGGTAATAATTTCTAGTTACCATTCTTTGGCCATTAACTGTTTTATATATGATAATATAATGACCTGGTCAATGACTATTAAACGCTGGCTATTAGAAAATTATTGCGAGTCGCTGATCGGTGTATGGCCATGTATTTTTGGTGAATAGATAACGTTGCAATAAATATCTGACTATTATACGTATACATACTAAATGGACATAAGATTCTAGCTATTTATGGTCATAGATTTTTGGTGAATATCAGTTACAGCTCATTTAACTAATGTCATTAATTTCATTTTTATATTTATAAATTAACCACAAATTGGCCAAATTTTACTGATCTGTAATTAGCCAAGTTTAATAACCCAGAAATTAACTATTAAGTGACCATATCTGCGTTCTGGTTAAGAAAATGTCTATCATTTAACCATTAGCAGGCCAATTTTGGCCATTGGTTAGTAAAAAATGGCCCTTTTATAAAAAAGGGTCCTTCACTGGTCAAATTTTTACTAGGGAGAGTTAATTGCGAGCTAAAATCGAACGCGTGATAACAGGAAGGGAAAAGTTCATGTGACGAAGGCACTGGCACCCCATGCCCTACCTAGGATTCGACTGTAATTTCGGATGTGATGCAGCAACATTTTCGTTCCTACATTCGCCCTCGCCTCACCGTCGTTCGTGATGGATGGGAAACAATAATGGTACCCCGTTAGAGGGTTGAGCAGGAAGAGCATTAACGCGGCCCACCTTCTCGTCATTCTCAGGTGAAAGAAGTCCATTGCCGTGGCTACTCGCCGGCTGTTCTTAAAAACCTTTCACGAACTGTCTAAGAAATGTCAGGGTGGCCCGAATTGATGTGGCCGCGTTAACACCAGTTTCACTCCGTTCCATTAAGAAAGTTCTTTGCTGAAATTCCGTATGATAAATTGCATTCGCATAATTGATTGCGTTCTTGTAACGTAGTTGTTGTCTAAATCAAAAGCATTGAATATTGTTTGGAATTTTATATAATAATCTTTTTTAATATACTGTGACTTTTCTAATGAAGAAATCTTGTATTTGTAGCTGTTTATTTTTAAGCCTTGTCTTGTAATAACTAAATAAATACTAATAGTATAGTTGGCAACAACTACGTTAATTGATTTTTATAAAACGAACAATTCACTAATAGCTAAGAAAATATTAGTTAATCAGTTTCGTTACGTTTGAATGTAGTCATTTATGGGAAAAATGTACGAACGTTTTAAAATTGTTCTGATAACGGAAAAAGAATGTAACGAGCCACTGAACCCAATGAAAATGATTCTCGGTTCCCAGCAGCCTGGAAGAAAAAAGAAATGATATAATTATCCGCGCACGTGCTCTTTGAAATTTATATTGTCTCGGATAACGAATTAAAGAATAATGGCAAAACGGGGGATTGAAACAAAGGGGGAGCACAGCCGCGTTTGCGCGGTCGCTTTAAGGACAGTAACAAGCACTAATAACCACGGGATTTAATTAACAACCCGATATTATCTCAACAGTGAGCGCGGTGAAACTACAATTTTAAACACGCCACTCAACGTGCATCTTGTTCTAGAATGTAAGAACGGCGCGGGCCAGCTGGAGTTTTCTAAAAAGAGGAGAGAGAAAAAAAGGAAATGTGAAAACGTTGAAAGGTTGCAGAAGATGGAAAAAGGGAAGAAAAGCTTCGGACTCGTCTTTGCGTTGCGTTCCCGTGAAAGAAAATATTCGCATAAAGAAGGCCGATGGAGAGAGAGATAGAGAGAGAGGAAACGGGAAATAGAGAGTAAAGGAGAGAGTACAGACGATAGAGCGTCGACGGGATTAAAGAGGAACTCGCGAGAGAAGAAAAGAGAGGAGAGAAGATCGGGGAATGATCGCGCGCCGCGCGGAGTCATTAAAAACCGTCGTTCTGGCCATTAGAATGACAAATGACGTCGTTGACGGTGCCAAATTAGCGCGATGAAAGGACGACAGCCACTGGCCCGTCGTGACGGCGAGCTGTTCGCGGGTACATCGGTCTCGCTTGTAAAATCTCTGCCAAAAGGACGCGGCACCGTTTATGCGGCCCGGTTTTTCCTCTTACCCGCGGTTATTACTTCACCTTTATTACTGTCATTCTCCCCGGTGTTCTAATTCCCCGTCGACGAATAATACCCGAGGGATTTCCGCGGTTTTCTTCAAGGATAATTAACGCCGAACGAGTACCTACACAAAGCGATAATCAAAGGGTAGGAGTGGACGGCCGGCTGCTTTGAACGCGTATCCATTCATTAAGGATAAGCAGCGTTTACAGGAGCTCGATCAGTTCCGTTGCCTCGACTCAAATCTACTGATCGGATTATCGTGGTATTACGTAGTAGTTAACTTCGTGTTGAACTCAAATTTTCGCTCCTTGTTGAGACCAATAATAATCAGATACCAATATCAGATAAATAATTCTTTAAAAATATCGTTTATTGGAAATAAAATAATATGTGAACTGAAAATGATTTTTATTACGGGATGTACGTCGCGTGAAAATATTATCGGACGGACGAAGCCAATGTTTGACGTCACTTGACGTTCCCGAGCAGCAATAAGAGGAGCAAACTTGGAGTAAAGAAAAAGGAATAAAATATTTACAAGATAAACGTACCTTTGATGCTTTTATTTTTTCTTCAAATTCGATTCTTCCGGCGCAAAGGAGGCTCGTAGAACTGTAAAATTGAAACGGGACGCCGGCATCGGTGGACGTGTTGACGGAAACAGAAGGACGGGATCGGTGGAGGTTCGAAATATTTAAAGACTGGATTTCGCTTCGCTAAAAGTTTTATTTCGTCCGATCCAGGACAGATAGTCTGGTCTGTGTGTTCTCTCGCGTGTACGCAACTGGAAGAGTGTGTGTGTCCATCATTTTTTTGAAAACGCGTGTCGCCATTTCGTGTACGTGCACTCATCGTGTAGGTGTGCACAGTTACACCGCGAGGTCCTCTTCCCCCTACGTCGCAGTTAGTACAATATAATTATGTATAGTTTTATTTTCGTCTATTTCGTTAGCATACAAAAGGATACAGGCACACAAATATCAAATATGCATCCGGTACTCGTTATTATACTATTGATCAATTATAATTACACTCACAGCGGTATCTTCACCGTTATTATTATTATTATTACTATTATTATTATTATTATTTGTATAATCGTTATTATTACTTCCTGCGGCCACTCGACGTTCTTACATTATATAAATCCACACGTTCGCAAGCACGTTATCGCTTTCCACTCGTACGAATTACAAATTACGCTGTATGGTACAATTATGTACAAAATGGTCGCTACCCGCCCCGCGACGGGCTTATTTATACGTATAACACGTTTACACATACATGTATAAATTACAATCGCTATATACATTGAGATAATGCGGCGCGTTGAATAGTTTCGGGGTGCCGAGGGCGTACACCCACGAGTCTTAACATCACTTTTAAATCCTAGTGATCATCATAAGCTACTTTGATTAAAACATTACAAAACGTTATTGAATATAAGAAATATAATAAATCGTAATAAATCATGAAAAACATCGAACAAATGAAATGATTTAATTCTTTTTATTGGAACTTCAGTCAGTGAAAAATATCTCATTTGGCAATACGTCTTGTATTAGATCTCAAGACTTACGTGGGTGCACTTACCTGTAGCCATCGTCCCTGTTAAACCTATGATATTATTTTAAACCGATCGTCGTTGTTCTCCGTTCAATCGTACCCGCTCGTTTCTCTTTCGCGTGCACCTAAGCATCGGACATCGTCCGTGTTCGCACGATCGATGCACGAGGTTGCCGAGGTCAATGCAACAACTTCACACCGTGCTATTGCTGCATACATTTTTTATTAGACCGCCGTTTGACAGATTGCCGTCGTTTAATCCTCACCCAATACTCCGCATTCCGTGTTCGGTGCCCATCGACTTGGTGGAGGTTGAAAAAATGTACAAACTTAAAGGGAATAGAAAATTATTTGTCAAATGTTTATTTACGTATATTTTTATTAAATGAGGACGAAACGATGTTTAAACAGCGTCGATGGTACGCCATTGTGCACCGAGATCGAAATTATACCTATACAATAAATATTTTAATCTAATGTTGTTCAAAAGCAGTACATAAATTTTGAATTAATTTCTGAATTCGATTATAGTAACAAAGTGCTGAAAGAATTCTTAATACGTTCATTGATTCTCGTGTCTGACCACTGCGCCCGGATCTACTGAAGTCGAACTGGTGCCATCGACGCATAAATTTCAGCTCGCCGAGCGTTCAGCCAACAACTTTTGTCGGCTGCCCGTTGAACCATACGCGTGTATGCGTGACGCTCGCCCCGGGGCTCGATCAAACGCCGCTCCTCGTTCTTTTTCCCTCCTCGGTTTAATCCTCCCCGATTCGCGCGAGGCGCACGCACTTGTACGTCGTCGAATAAAGGATGGGGGAGGGAGGGGATCCCGATCTCCCCTCTTCGTTTACTATCAACGCGCTCCTTCCCGCATTTCTCATGTCGGATTGAAAAAGGGTTGTAACAGCTGATTTATGCGCTGGATGTTTCCTCGGCTGCAGCCTCTCGTGTCTTATAGCGGGACCGATCGCTGTCTCGAACGATATCGGCGGGCCTTGTTCGCGAATCGGGATGGGAAACGAGGCTCGTAAAAGGGCGCGCCGCAGGAAACAGAAGTCGCCCCGCTGTATGCTAATTCTTGCTTCGCAACGGATACGGAGGAATGGCTCAACTCCTTGGTTGAAGTTAATGTACAATGACAGGCTGCATTGGAATAGATAATACGCAGTCGTAGATATAGCGGGCTGCTTTTGTTTGAACGCAGTCTAGTTCTTGAACCTCCTATCTTGATCCCTGTGCACTATTGCAATGAGAAATTCTCTTGTTGCGTTTACGACTGGCAGTGATAATTAGAAGAGGCTTTTGTTTTGGTTAAACAAGAGATACGCTTAACCTAATACAGTAGAACCTCGATTACATAAACGTTCGATTATGCGAACGTGGATCAGCTGGATAAATACTGCGGGTTATGCATGGCAGATATGAAAACATGTTACTAATTTCAATGCCCTAACTAATTTGAATGCACTAGCATTTCGATCAGTTCAGCTAGGCACTGTGTACTAACACGTCATCGAAACGTGAACGTACAGCGTTGTCCGTTCGAACGAACCGTGAAATAATTAATCGATCAGATAATAATGAAACCTGAGGTAGGAATATCTGACAGTATTGGAAAATTAATTGTTAAGTAATTAACACTCTAATATAAATCGTTCGATTAATTCGAACATTCTAAACAGAATTACTTCGGATAATCGAGGTTCTACTATAGATATAAGGAAGTACACTTTCGTAGTTGGCAGTAAAAGCTCATTGCATATTGGAAAATTTAATGACGAACGTGACTGGCATCTCTTGACTCATTCGATGTACACAGTACTCCGTAGGAGCTAGAGCTTTCAAAAAAGAGCAGCGTGCCCTGCGAGCGGAGATAAAACGAGATGCGTGTAAAATTTAATAAAACGTTCGGTGCGGAATAAGGCCGAGCACCGCGGGGCGACGATTTAGAACGGGCGTGCGATATCGCGGCGATCTCGGTGCACACTCGGCGCGCCGTTGTCATTGACATGTCGGCAGCCATGCAGCAGGCCTGCACAAAGGAACCATAAAGTATCCTAAGAAGTACGCTGCGAGCAGGCACGAAAGTACCGTCCTCCGTCATCTTTATCTACCTCCTTGTATCCCGAGTGGAGAGAGAAAGAGTGCACACCATCTTTAACGACCATCAACTTATTCTTTTATACACTGCTTCCCCTTCCCTGCTCCTAAAAAAAAAGACCTCTCGATCCTCGCTCCACACTCCTGTCATCGATTTCAGTTCTTCCTTAACGTATATCCCTTTTTCTACGGTTCGAGATAAATTGACGATTATTGCCAGGAGCGGACTGTCTAGGTACTAGAAAGTGCAGGAGGTTCAAGGTACTTAATCTCGTAATGCAGAAGTTTTCGGTGAGAAACGACACGATCTGAGTTTCCTCTACGGAATTTGCTGTCAACGGAAGCGCGGAGGCTAAAAAATCGAAGAACGTCGGGACGCGTGGCGCGGCTACGCGCCTCGCTGTTCCCCGCCGTGGGAGATGAGAAAGAACCTTGAAGCAACCTTTTCCTCCCTCTTATCAATTCGTCTCTGAATTATTACGATAACGTCGAAACGCGCTTTTTCTTTTCCCCCCGAGCTCCTTTCTTCGAGAAAATGAAAGGAAAGGCGGTAGAAAGAACAGAAAACGACGATTATTATTGCGAAGTTATTTGCTCAGTGCCCCCAACTTAAGGCGCTTGAAAGATGTGTGCATGTGTGTGTGTGTGTGTGTGTGTGTATGTACGCGTTGGTGTATGTAAAGATGAGAGAGTGTCTTTTTCTTTTTATACGTGTACGTCTGTCACGAGGTCCCTAACGGTTATATTTACACTCGAAGCACTCGAAGCTGTCACTCTTACGGTTTACCTTTAACATTCTACGGTGGCGACGATTAAACACTAAATATACATAGGTAAAGTTTCCCGATCGTTGTCAAACGCTACGCGTGTTCCCCTCTGTTCATGGTACGAGAACGCATCCTCAAAGGGAGAGAGCTTCTCGCTAAAAGTTTTCTTGTGAAAGTTCTATTCCTAATACCAGGACAAGGAAATTGCGAATTGAAAATATAGCAACTATACATAGTCGTTCGTTTGTCTAATAAAAAGAAACGATAGGTTTAACGAAGAGCTTTCTCACTGAGCCCATGCATGTACCTCGCGATTGCCTTCTTTACACCCAACCATTACTATTTATTATTTTCTTTAATATATCACAATGTGGTCGGTTTTTTTTCTCAGTTCTCCACCTATTCACTCGTCCTTCCTGCCTCTTCGTCTCGTTCTACGTACACATGTATTTAATTATTGTTGTCTCATCCCTGTATTGTCGATTTCTTACGTCGGTCAAATCCCTCGACTCGTTTTATTTATTTTTTTCCTCGTTGCATGAAGGCGATGCTGGTAGTGATAGAGAAATAAAGTTGGGCTTATACACAATATATGTATACAATATATCATACGCTTAAAATCCTTCGCACGATAATTACGCGTTACGCATTTTTTTTTTTTTCTTCATATATCTATCATTTATTTATTCATTTATTCATTTATTTATATATATATATAATCTCTTCCCTCGCCTATATCGCACATCGTACGTGTGTAATACGTATATAAATTAAAGAATTCGTTTTACGTTGCGCTTGTGTACTGCAATATGTAACTTCGTGACGGAAGTACGTGCGCACGCGTGAAAAAAGCGGCGCGCGTGCACGCGCCCCTGCGCGTATTATACAGCACGACCGGGATCATCAATTATTTATTCGACGTCAGTCTTGTGTGAGGCGGGATCGAAGCTCGCTAACGTTCTACTTTTCTCACAAATATTCCGTACCTAAAACCCCCCCCACCCCGCTTCCCCCGCTTGTCCGCTTAGCTTGCTCTTTCTTCCTAACAACTACTTTTCCCCATTCGATATCCATCGCATCGATCTCACACGCATCTTCCTTTCTCAGCACTATTGGCGTTCGTGCCGCGATATAACTGACGTTTTCAATCAGCTCCGAGCTGTAGTTAACGGTAATTAATTATCGGTCGCGTATAAACATCCGACTGAGAAAAAAGGGGGCACTTCCTCTTCTCTCTCTCTCCTTTACTAACTATTCCTATTTCCCTACTTGCTTTTCCTTTATCGTTTACCTAGCCACCGGGATCGATAACGAGCTCGATCCGGTCGCACATGCGCGCCGCACTGGCTGAACATTAAACGCACGCGAGCACTTCTGGAAATCCGCTCGGCTCGCGTCGCGTCCTCGTCGCCGCGGCTCCTTATCGCGTTTTTCCGCGCGGAAACGGGAATTACAGTTTCTACGTCTCGAAACAACCGCGGTCTAACGAAGCCACCGGTTTTTATCGAGGGAACGTGGCAGTGAGTGGAAAAACATTTCGAGAACACGCCTGTAGCATATCTACGAAAAATATGACCCTTTCTTCCTGCTCGAGCTTGTTTTTTCCTCTGGTTAGAACTGCCCCTGAACCTCGTAACTCGCTCGAGGAGGGTTAGAGGCTCGAACAAACTTTTTCGCGCGCGTTGCACCGTACGAGTTTCTCCGAGAGAGAAAAGTCTCTTTGAAAGTTCGACGTTTCTGATAACCGTGGGCGGTACGTGAAATCCTCGACTAACGATTAGACTGCATATTTCATGCATTTATAACAAAACTGAATATCACAGAGATTAAATTATTGAAATTATTTTTTTAAATAGGTAAATGTTCTGTTTTGTATAAAAATTCGTAGAAGAATGACAACGGGCTAATTATTTGGTAAAACTGGCAGAGGGAGAATTTTGCGGATAACGACGAGTACGCGTCGCAGAGAGAATTTCCAGAAAAGCCTCGGCTGCGCGGTGCCGTTCAACTGATATGCCAATCGTAGTTACAACTCCGGTTTCACCTACCTAGGTACCTGCCTACCGTTCGCAAGTAGGTTAAGTCCTCTTAATGCGCGACACTCGAGGCGCTTACATACGTACGTATACGTACACCTGTGCTGTATGTACGGCGTGCTCGGAAAGTGCGCGAATGGCAGTGCTCGTCGAGAAGGATTCCGAGGGGATCGAGACCGCGATCGAGGCATTTCGGTCTCGGTTTAATCGAGCCGAGAGTTTCACTGGAAATAACGCGAACAAACAAAAATTCACCTCGTCGCAGTCGGACCGATCTCGCTCCTTCGTTTCCAAGTTTCGCTAAATCCTCCAGCATCCGTTGTTAGTATACCATTTCCGTGCATCAGATTGATTTTTCTCTCGGAGTCGAGATACTCGAATCGCTTTCTTTTTACAACAAGATGTTTCTTATTGGATGTGAAAGTGTCAATTGGAGAAGTATGAAAGCCTGGGACGATTCGCGGATGCTGAAGGTGTGGATGAGTCGCTCGCTCGATTTCTGAACGCGAAATGCGAAAGTCTGTCGTACCTTCGATCCAGCTGCTCGTTCCGCGAGGTGCAGCCGTCCTTACGCGTATCTGTGCAACGAGTGCTCCCGGCGTTTGCTGCCCCTGCGCTCGCGTTCGCAGACCGGCTCGGGACTCGGCGGGTTCGAATACGTCAGATTGCTGGAGCCTCGCGGGGGTGGCGCGCTCATCGGTGGCGGGGGAGGCGGAAAAAAGCTCTGCAAGCATGCCTGACGACACACACAAATTAAAGGGAAAAGTTCAGTTTTAACATCTACTGAAAATAACAGCGTTTCAAAACTCTCAGTGTTTTACTTTTGATATCAGTAGATAAAATATTTGTTGTTTTATTTCTTTGGTAGAAGTACGTTATGTGAGTGGGAATGTGTGATTCAAGTATTTACCTTTGCGCTACCCCTTGACGAACATTTCGAGAAGACGCTGTCCTGGTCGCTGCTTACACTAGGCACAGGCATTGGTACTGCGTAATCGTAGGTGGCATCTGTCAACAAAATGAATGCGAAATTTTCAAATTTCAAACTCACATCATAATTGAAATATTTGACTTATTAATATTATTGTTGTTGTTGTTGTTGTTGTTTAAGTATTAACTGCTTTGAAAATATATTTAAGAATGTATGAATTTAGGAAGAACAGTCATTCGATCTTCGGATACAATTACTGAAGTACATGATTCCCAAGAACGACAAGTTGGTCGACAATTGTCAAGGGTTTTCCAAGCATCGATTGCACTCACCAGACTGTTCGACGTTGTCGTGAAGGTCCTTGTTGTCTATAACAACGGTGCTATATCCGTAATAAGCAGCATGAGGCGGTTCCCGGTACTTGTTCTCGTGGAAGGGTTCCTGGTACTCGTCGAGCCTGACGTCGCCCAGCAAACGATCGTTCAGATCGCGAGGCAACGTCGTCAGCTTGGTGCCAGCGTACCGGTCGTCGAGCTCGTCCACTCTGTACGTCATCAGCGACGGATCCTTTTCTGTGGTTCCGTACGCGGACTCCGGCGACAGGTGTTGGTGATTACTCGACGGGATCGCGGTCTTCGTCCCAAGGGGACTGGCGAAGTTCTTCCGTTGCCGGTGGCGCGTGACGATCAAAAATATCGCGACGGCCAGCAACAGAATCACAGCGGTCAGAACGCCGATGATCACCGCCATGTAGGTCGGGTCGTCTTGCTTCACTACTGGCACCTCTGCTTGAAGAGGATTGTCCCGTGCCGAGACTCGGTCCCTCGACCTCGGGGCCTCGGTCGTTGGCGCTGATTCAGGAGTGAAGTTCCCGTGAGCGATATCTGCGACAAGAACAAAGTATTCGTGCTTCTCTTCTTCTAATATTCAGACTGTCGATTTCGAAATAAAGCGTCTATGATGTGAATTTGAAAAATTTTGGTTGTTATTGTAACCTTTAGAAGTAATTCATATTGTAGACAATTTTAATTAATAAGCAAGAATTTTGAGCAGAACTTCCTTCTTCGAAATAAACATAAATGTACATATGAATTTTTACACGAAGCTGTTCAAATGAACTCAATGAAAAAATTAGGAATTCCCATTTTTGATCGGTTAAAATATGTAATGACGTAATTACCGGAATCAAAGGTAACTTCGCTGACCATGATCCACCGGGAGGCGAAGCTGAACCTCAACTTGACGAACTTTCCGATCCTGTGATGCAGTTTGATGGAAATGTTCCTTGAATGCTCAAAAATCCTGTCTTCCATGTACGAGTACACTATCGGATCACCTGTGTAGTACTTCCCACCGACACTGAACATAATACTAGCTTCGGCGAACACCTGTCACAAACAAGAAAAAATTCTTTGTCCCTTCATTCTTTACTTCATAATTCATAATCATCAATTTAAGTAAAAAGAAAAAACGATGATTATTGTCAAATTGCAACCAAATATTTAAGATAAATGTACTTCGAGTCTTCATTTTACAGGAGAAATTGATTCCAAATGATTCATTTGTATCTGCTGTATTAAATTCCACGTGTGAAAGTATTTTCCATCATTGACTTATATGTTATTTTTTATGTTCAGTTGATAACGAAATCATGCTTAGTTAAATAGCGATTATTAGCCCGTATATCTTCATTGATCCCGTCGATGACAAATACATTTTTATCGCAACAAAACTTGTTTCATATTTCATTGAAAGCATCCCTAACGAGGCTCGCGGCCATAAAACCGTCTCACACGGTAAATATGTATAAAACAGGCGAGCGGCAAAGATTATTCCGGACAGTAAAACGAAGCCGCTCATTGTATACGTTAAATGTGATGTAGTGGCTAATATTCAACATTAATTATATGTATAAATCAGCGTCTTAAGACGAGGTCCCGTGCTTGAGAACGCTAGATACACACCGTACCGTGTACCGGCAACCATCTACGGTTGGATATTAATATATCCCGCAATTCCTCTTGCACAAATACAGACGGCTCTATTTATTACGGGTATAACGAGCAACTTTATAGAGGCAACACTCGGTTGACATCGACGACTTCGATAATTGTGAGCCTCTTCCCCTGTGGCTGCGTTCCCCGACAGCCGGGAGGCGCGCGCGGAATGCTAATTCCGCGTAAGAGAAAGCGTAAGATAGTTGCGCGAGGAGAATGCCAGGCAACTGGAAGAGTCTGAAAGCGGAGAGAGGATCGCGACGACGACGTACGAGGGAACGGGACGAAACAGCGAGGGAACAACGCGCGGTACTTGGAAACGGAGATTACAAAGCTTAGATTACCTAACTCTCTTACAATTAGCCTTGAACGGAACGAGGATGCATGTGGATTTTCAAGGGAATCTAACAGAATCTAGCTTGCCTGGCTCGGTGAAGAAGACGAACGCGACGACCACGTAACCGTGCGAGCACCACGTACGGTATAGTAATCGAGAGATAGATCGAGAGAGAAGGAGAGAGGTGCGCGAAACTGGCGATGCTTTGAAGTGCTGTCGTTCAGAAGACGTGTCCTATCCGCGCGAGCTGCCGCTTGTTAATAGAAGGGGACGTTTAGGGGCGGTTGCTATACCATCTCTCACCCCTTGCTCTCTCGGTCCATAGACTGCCGACTTGCCAGACTGTCGGCATTGTATTTGAATACGTGGCGTATCTGCTCTTCGGCTCGTTGCGCGCTACCATTGTGCGTACGAGAGAGAAAGAACCGCCACCTTAGTTCCCAGCTCCCCCCTTCCGCCCCCTCTCCAGCCTCCGTGGCTTCGCGGACCGTTTCTCTTGCTCCTCGACGTTCCCTTCCTGCCTTCCACGAAACCGTCTTTCCTCCACCTCGGGAGACAGTCCCCCTTCTTGGCGCCGATGCACCAGGCGTTTCTACTGCCCTTGCCCGTTACCACCTCTCACTTTCCGTCGAGCAGCACAATCGAGCCTCGAGCCGGGTAATGAGGCTCTCTATTCAAATAATTCTTGATACCAACGATGGTATTCCTATTGAACCACGCAACGTCGCTGCAGAAAACTTCTATTTTCTACCAGTCGGACCTTGAAATCTCGCGAGGTATTGTCGTGTTATTATAGAAGAGCAGAACTGTCGAACTTCTTTACACAGGTACTTTTTTTATAATTAAGGTAGTAGTTGTTGTCTAAATCAAAAGTGTTGAAAACTGTGCGAAATTTTATACTAGACTAACATAGATACCAAGAATTACATTTTTTGGATATTATTTTTTAGAATAATATAATAATCAAAATTTAACGGATTTTAATATATGAAATTTTAATACAGAAGTCTTGGGTTTATAGTTGGTTTATTTTTAAACTTTGTCTTGATTAATATAGTAGGGCAACGACTACCTTAAATGAGATTACAAGGAAAGCTAAGGTTGAAAGAAAATCCTAAGCTACCCTAACATATTTTCCGTCTGTACTCCCCTAGTTGTTTGTTGCTTCGAATCCCCTTGCTCGATTATAGAAGAGAGGTAATAAGGAGCTCCATTGAAATAAATCTTGATACCGGGCCGAGGCCATTATATAGAAATTCGTGGCCGGAAACACGCGGGGCCGGAAAATTTTCCGAGAAACGGGCAACAGGGAGAGCGAACCGGCGTCAGCGTGGCACCGAAAGAGGGGCTGCGGCTACTGTTGTCCGTCGTTACCATCCTGTGCAAAATCGAGCTTCGCGCCGGGGACCTCTTTTCCTCCTTTCTCCTTTCATCCCGCGCCAGGGGCCAACCGTTGTTGCGCCTCGTTACCCATCCTACGTCCGACCTTGACTTGAAAACTGGATTTCATGGCGTACGCCATCATCCCCCCTCCCCCCTGTTTTCCCTTTTCTTCTATGGCGGCGCGGATTAAAAGCAGACGCGAAATCTTCGCGCGCATTTCTCGCGATTGTCTGACTCGCATTTTCTTTTCCCACGTCAGCCCCTCTACCTCTTTCTCCGTCATCCGTTCCTTTTCACTCGTTTCAACTTGTGGTTTCCAATCTTTTTTCCTCATTTCTTTCTCCCTCTGTATCGTGGTTCTGTTCGCGTTGACGATTCGCGCCGCGGGCCCTTCCAATTTCCTCCCTGTCGCGCACTCGTCTGTCCGCCCTTCCTTCTTCCTGTTCCCGCGGACATTCGGTGGAACGATCATAGAGGAAATTTGAAAATAACGCGGGCTGGCTCTCGTTCAAAGAGATCGCCCGATAACGGGATTACAGTGGAAATTCCATTGTCGACGTGTCGAACGAGTCAAAATATTAGAATTTAAAGTGGAACGATGTTTAAACTCGCGACGTTTTCATTTTCAAGAGGAAATTCGTTGACGAATTTATTACACGTATTTGACGGGGCAGCGCATAACGAGATGGGAACGGCTACCGCTGGCGGATGCTAACAGACACAACGAGAAGCGTGACTTTCGGTCCGCGTGTTGCCGAGAGACCAAGTACGTGACTGTTCTCCCGGCCAAAAATCTGCCCGAGGGTTCGTTTCGCGGGGATACGGAGATCACGACCCGCGAATGTTAGGGAAGGCTCTGGTTTCTCGCATCGCGCTTCCCTCCTGACTTTGCCACCATCATTGGGATCACGACGCCGAATCAACCTCTGGTGCACCAGTTACCGTACCGAACTTTCTAATTTAGTCTACGACGGCTGCTCTCAAACTTGTGCATTATCGTAGCACGTGATTAGATTTTAATATCACATCTAATAATCAAATGGATGCCTTGAGTAAAATTATGTATGCATAAATTAAATTTTTGTAATATATGAAGTAACGAACAGTTTATTGCAATATTGTCCTGTGTTTAATTATTTTTCTTCTTCAGTAGTTAGTCACTTGACTTTTCTAATACATTACACCTACCTGCACATCCTTGGTGAACTGATTGTTGCAGTAAATATGCACAGCGGAGAACTCCCTGACGTGGTCGAACTCGAACTTGACCTCGAGCGGGTGACCGGACCTGGTGTCGTTTCTCCATCCGACCCATCCCTGACCCCGGTCGTAATCGTAATAACCCATCTTGAAGTTATCCGGCCCGATCTTCCCGTCCGTCAACTGTCCCAGGCCGCGTAGTAGCTGCCCGTCCCAGTAACCGTCGTAAGTCGCGTCGAAGAACTCCCAGTTGCCGCGTTTGTCGCCCTGCGGCATCGAGTACGAAACGATGCCGTCGTTCCACGGGCAGCCGTACAGCTCCACCCGCATGCAAACGGTCCGCCGATGGTAGCTGTACGGCCAGAAGCGGACCTTGCTCGCCCACATCGGCGGCTCCAGCTCGTGCTTCGATTCCAGATACGTGTTCGAGTTCCCTTTGATCACCTGCGACAAGCAGAAGCAAATACGTTCAGTGAAACAAGCTGCGAATCTTTCTAGTGGCAATCTACCAGTAAACCTATAGACAGGTCTCGTACACTAAAATTCTATACTAGCATTCAGTGTAATTTTCTTTTCATTACGTATAAAAGAATTTAAATTCACTTGACTGTTTCACAGTAAATTTAATCTTAAATTTATAAAAAGAATAAATTATTAAGTATATTTGTATGCATTTAGAAATAATTTATATACACCGAAAATATAAAAAATTTTCACAGTAAATTACATAAATCATGAATATCAAAATTATGTGTTTAAAGAATTTTCTCCCTAGACTTCACTCTTTAAATTAAAACCATGAATGTTTATTTTACATAAACATCTGCAGTTTACTAATCTCGTTGTTTAAATGTCTGGAAAATTGAATTGCGTTTGTCCTGTGCAGAAAGCTGGGAAATCTTCGACTACGGGCGTTATTAACACCTGACATAAACTCGTTCGCGGGATATCCACTGAATAATTCATTCGGCACGGAATCCACGGGCGCCCGAAGGAATTACGATTCGGTTCTCAGGGCGTATCATTAAAATACCATAAACTATCGGCGATCGTTATCGATAATGGGGACCCGGACTAGTGCGCGTGTACACCTGTCGGGATCACGACCGCGGTTCATCGCGGTCACGTAAACGGACACGCGTGTATGTTTGCGTTTGGGGATCTCGTACACGGAGTCGAGTGGTGCTGTCAGGCTCGTAAGTGGAAAATAAGAGGGTCCTTTGTTTGAAAGGGGCGACGTTGCACCGAGAAATTCTCGATCCTCTACCGCGATATGAGGCTCCGCAGCTCCGCTAGTCGAATAGAACGCGCGTTGTTTCATCTGGGAATGCGTGGAACGAGGAATCGTGACACCCAACGGAAACGTCCACCGAGGTGTAACTTAAATTCCTAACATTACCTCATTAAAAAATCCTACGATGAAATCGTAATCAAATCTTTCTATTACTTTAACTTAAAGTTACCAGACGTCTTTTCTTGGACGTGTCCTCCTTTTTAGACCTAAAATCTCAGTTCGACAGGTTTTTTAAATATATAAAAATGTTTGGACTTGTTAACACTAGAAAAACTGAAACTTAGTATATACCTATATTGCCCAAATTATCCAGTTTAAAATAAACTAGTAATTTACTTATGAGAATACGTCTTCCTATTGTTCTGTTTTATTCTATCAAACGCCATTTGCAAAAGAAAATGTGATTAACAAAAGGAAAATACGGTAACCCTATTTAACCGAACGTTTCCTATAATTGCATCGAGCTATTAAAACGTAATTGCACAATCGCTGCTCGATAATTAGAAAATCTGTTCACGATTTTCTAGTTCTTATTGGAGCTCCCGTTTTCTGCAACGAGGGTAGTTTTCCAATTCCGCGAGGCAAAGGAAACGCGATTAAAAGATGATCGTCGGCCGGCACGTTCTGCGGCGGCAGCGGCGGCGGTCCGGTAATTGGGAGACCGGTGGGTTGACACCGTTTCATTCGCGCTCGTTATTCCCTCCGCGGGTTTCTAGCCGTCTAGCTAGTGTGATGTTTGGTGCATCGAAACGAAACACAATGAGCCCGACGCGCGTGAAATCCCGGCTGCCAGCGTCGTCGTCGTCGCGGACTTCGTTACGACCGCTTTAATGAATGCGTCGCGCGCTCGTTAAGAGGCCGAAATATGCTTAAACGGAACGCTTTTGAAAGAAAGTCTGATTCGTACAACAAAAAATTGTACAAGACTCGCACCGAAACGTCTGTTAAGCCAGTACCGTTGCCAAGTTGTTGGACTTGCTCATTTGTCATATTCGTGAAAGGAACGAAAAACAATTATGCAGGACATATTTGGCATTTTTTAATGTGGTACGAATTTCATATTTATTATAAATGTGATATTATAGAATTTAATATGCGAATATCGAAATTAGAGGAAACCCTGATTAATGAATTGGATATAACATTAGGAATGGGACGGAAAATCAAAGTAGCAATTTTTAATCAGCCTTGGCGATCCGTGAAAGGGGTGCCACAAATTTTCAGCTTATTCCAAGAAAAGCCGAGGAGACACGCTCATTCCGTGTGATCGCTGCCGCGGGAAACGGAACGCGCGAGGGCGAAAATACGACGGCATTTACGAGCCGCCGACTCGTCCAACAGGAAAAATAAGTAATCTCGATATTTATCTGCACGCCCACGCGCGATCCGCCGCGAAGCTCACGACTCCGGTCAAAGAGTTTCCCAAGTCGCCTGAACCCCCTGCCCCGTACCGGCGAATAAAAATTCGAGACAGATATGAAATCTTGCCGGTTCGAAAAATGCGCGTTTGGTTCAACAAATCAAAGGCCCGTCGGGCTGCACGACTTCGCACTGGCAAAAACGAAACAGAAAAAGGCGTGAAATCTTTTCGGTTCGAAACGGTCGGTGGCAATTTTCGTCGCCAACAAATTCCAGTCTGGGAAGAAACGTTGCCAGGGCGTGGTCCGCCACCAACGCCCATTTTATGTTAATGTTCCCGCGACTCTTGATCCCGAATCGTCCGCGACGGTACAGAAAACAGTAGCGGTGATGATGGCTTCGTGTCGTCGGCAGAGATCGTGACGGATAAGCTGTCTGACGGTTTAATTAGACAGATATACGCTACGGGTGGTCCCACGAATTTTCCCACTGCGAGTCACGCGCTTGCAAAACAGATCCAACGACCCTCTCGGATCTCTCTGAACATCTTCTGCTTTTAGCGATCAGTTGATGTAAAGCGTGTCCCTCCACGTCATGATAATTACTGAGAATGAGAAACTTCAATGTATCCTAAGCCCGCATCAATATTTTTTAATATAAATATTCAGACCTCTAATCCTATTAATCGAGATAATGCCTGTTTTGTTAGCTCATTGAGATATACTGTCTAAACTGTCTGACTCATAAAACGAGAACTCGTTCCTCGTCATCAATATTTCTGGGTTGCCTGTTACATACTATTCATACATTCTTTAGTATAAAATCATTCATTCTTGAATATTCTTTTTCGCACGAACTTTCCGGACAATAATTAGCACTCTGCTGACTCAATGTTTTTCACAGGACATCAGTTGAATTGCAACGTAAACGCAGTATGCGAGTGGGTAATATGGCGCAGAAACGATTAGCCAGAGAGGTACAAGATAATTTATGTTAGCCCGACTATCTGCGTCGCGCCAAATACGGTCGTTGAAAAATATTAGACGCTCCCCGGGATTCTGTTTTCGCCTGTCTCTCACCTCTCGTTCCGGGACTGTAAAACCGGAGTCGTTGACAACCGCATGCCGCGACGCTTACCACCGACGTCGCCCGGTCCCGGGGCGGAGCTGTTACGAGAGATTATTCCTCGGATAAGCCGAGTGTCGTTGTGTAATTAAGCGGGGAACAGACTCGCGCAGCGGGACGGGAGGCACGAAAATTTCTGCGGATTTATCCCCGGCGATTCCGGTGGGTGGGCCGTACGGACCTCGAAACCGGTACCCCGTTTCCGGGCGACCTAAACGAATCGCCGAGGTGAACGACTTTCGTCCAGCTGAGTACGCCACGACACGGTTCCACGAAGAATGAGCATCGATACGCGGGAATCACGATTTCCTTTCACTTTTTTCAACCGGTTCTACCAACTGTCGCCTCCCCGGGCGCACTTAATTAGACTGCTTTACGGTCGAGATTAAACGAAAGCAAGAATCAGTGGGAGGCCAGACCGTAATTTATAACTAATCTTCGGCTACGTAAATTTCCTGGCTGCGGCACAGATAAAAACCAGGAGAAATCGTGAGAGCCGGGCAAAAATCCATGTTCCTATTCATTTCTGTTCTACAGGATTAATTTCAACCGTCAGAACACATTAATATGGACAACATACACGTTCGTGATCTTTAGAACATCTTAGAAGTATTCTGATTATAATTATTAGACCATCGATCTTCATACAAAATAAAACTTATATAGTTTTGCATCATAGATTACGAATATCATAATATAAATTCGTACAAAATTTG